GCGCCCCCGGGAGGACGTGGGTTCCTGCTACCGGGGCAGCGGGCGGGCCAGCGCGTGCGCCAGAGGACCGGCCCGTGGCCACGCCCGACTGGGGCGGAGCCTGAGTGACAGGTTGTGGGCGGAGCGCGTAGTCACAGAGCCGGAAGCGCCTACCGCCCAGAGCGGGGCGGGGCGGACGCAGCTGGGACCGGGTGTGTCCTAAGGCCGACAGCTGCCTTCACCAGCACGAGGAAAGCTGTGACAGATGTATTTACAACTCGGTTTCTTCAGTGCTTTGCATAAGACTGAGAAAAAGTTAACTGTCCTTTTAAAACAGTGGACGCTGGAGGCAGGGGACAGGAGGCAGCTACCCATGGTTAAGCTCAAGACGGCTATCAGGCAGAAGAAAAGGCCTTGCTGCCGGTGGGGACCAAGAAACAAAAAGTCAAATAGGATCTATGCCCACAGATCCAAAGGGATGAAAAGTTTCAGGTCATAATCGGTGGAGGAATGGGAGCTGCAAGATGTCCTGCCTCAACCTAGAAATCCCACCATAGCAACCTTCTTCCTGAGTGTCCTCAAATACAGAAAAAGATGTTCATGACAGTCTCGTGTGTACCCCAGTCCACCAGACAAGTCAGAGTCCGTAGGCAGGTAGGATTAAAAGACCATGGAATTTCCCCCAGGTGCTTTTTGAAGTCCCCTCGCATGTTTAACCAAGACCGTCCCTGTCCGCTCACAGTAAGACTGCAGGGCCTTTGGAGTTTCCATTTACTGCTGCCACTTGGGCAGCAAGCCATGCTCAGGGCTCTGTATGCAGGCATCAAGTACCTTAATCTGATGAGCCAATGGTCTCTGAGCTTCTGGAACAGAACTGGTCGTCCTCCCTGTGCTAACCCTCTGAACCTGCCCTTAATCCTACTCTCCATCTGTTCCCGGCCTGAAAGACCCCAAGATGTCACCATCTCTTCGGTACATCAGTTAACTATGTGTACGCTGAGGGCTGCTGGGTCCCTGCCAGTCACCCTTGTCCCCCAGAAAATCTAGTCACCTCTCACCCACAAGATATTTCCAGTACTTAGGAGAACTGCATGGAACCCAATTCCAAAGCAATTAGGATGTGTGTTTTCCAGAGTGCGGGGACACTGTTCTACACAGGGGGTTCTCCTGGTGGTCTTGTGGGGTCACAGAAGGCAAGGGTGGGAACGAACGAGCCAAGCAGTAGCAGCAGGCCAGAGGGTTGTTTGTTCAGTAGTCCGTGAAATGTAATTCCACGAAAAGGATACATGATAAAGTTCCAGATTCTGTAACTTTAACTCAATTTAGCATTAAACCTCTTCTATTTTAAGAATTAAAAGTCGTTAAGTAGGGCAGAAACGGTTTGCGCCGACAAGGTAACTAGAATCTCCAGGAAGCCGGTATTGACCAGGCTTTGGGCTCAGCCGGTGAGGAGTTAGATGATTTCAGAGTCACGGGCACATGCTCATAAGCCAGCTCCACTGGTTTAGGGCCTCAGGCCAGGGGACCCTCACATCACTTAAACGGGCGCTCATTTCACCTAAAGGTGGGAAGGTGTGTTCTCTCATATGCCCTGTATTTTACTACATTCAGAGGGGCTCTTGGCAGAGTTCTGCGTGCAGCTGTGGTGAGGCTGCTCAGGAAGCGTTCTTGAATAAACACTGCAAGAGCAGGCCAGAGTTGTCACACAAGGTGAGTAGGGGACAATAAAACTTAAAACACACAAGGAGATGCTAGCTCGTCACCCTGGGGACACCCCACCCCCTGGAGCACATCCCAAGCCTCCTAGCTCACTCCCGGAGGGTCTGCTACCCCTGCCATCTGGAACTACCCCAAGCTCCCCATGTGGCGGCCCCTTCTTGTTAGTCATCTTGGTCCCTCGTGGTCTAAGGCCAGCAATTCCTCAGAAGCCACTTTACTGCTCCTCTGGGCTTTCAGGGGCTTCAGGCCTCCATCTTCACCTGCAGTGCCCCACCTCCTCCAACCTGTCAGGGACCAGCAAGTTCACCCAACTCCTCTCTACAAGGCAGACCAGGTACGCACGCCCAAGACCCAACTCATGTAGCTGGCTGCCTGGAGGACTCGAGGAGTCACTAACCAAGGCCCCCTCCCCACCCCAGAGTGCCAGCCAGCAGCCCTGCACACTAGACCCCTGGGACGCTTCGAGCTCCTCCAAGGCCCACTGACCACAGACCTGAACATGGGGTTCCAGTGACCTCTGGTGACCCCAAAGGTCTTGATCTGTCACCACTGGCCCACCGCCTGCTCCCCAAGGGGGTGAAGCATACAAGCTGGAGACTTTCCCCTAATGAAATGATTTATTGACAGACCCCCCTCCCACCCCCACCCCCATTCACCATGTGAAAAGCCGGCCAGCAATGTCCTTGCAGCCAGCCTCCTCCCTCACCCCTCTACTTTAGGCCATGGTGGTGAACTGAAAGCGGAACCTGCTTCTCTGGAGCAGTGACCACCCCTGCCCTGAGCTGATAAGGCACGTAGCTGTGCCCCAGGCCACACTGCCAGCTGTTGCCCCAGCACAGCTCCTGGGTTAGGGGAGCAGTGGTTCCAGCTGGTCCTGACCACCCACCCCTGACTTGTCCCATGAGAGTGGGCTTCACTTCTTGCCCACCCAGTCTAACAGTAAACAAGAGTGGTGCTGGGGTCCCAACCAGCTGCTACTCTCCAGGGTCAGGCCACTTCAAGGCAGTATAGTGGGGCACTTTGCGGGCAGAGGGAGAACAGTGCAGTGGGATGGACAGGTGGCTGGTCAGAAAGAGAGCATGCTGGCTGGCATGGCTGCCCCTTGGCTGGCCCCAGTCCTGTCCGCTGCCAACATGGCCAGAGCATGTTCGTGTAAAACTGTTCTAAACAATAAAGCAGAAGGCATGTGGGTCGTGTACTTCAGCGGAATCCAAGGAAAGCAGGCTCTCACTACGAGGCTAAAGCTGCTTTGCTCAGTTTTAATTTCTGAAAAGTCCACTGTATTTGAAAAATAAAGGATTTACTTCCGTTAAAGCTAGATCGCTAGGATATCGATGAGGCCGCTAACATGGTATCTGTCCTTCCTGGGGACGGCACAGAGGGAGTGCAAGTCCTCTCTTTTGGCGTTTTGGAATTAAACTGTGGCTCAGGTGATGTCCCCCTGGGTGTGGTAGACAAGGCGGCAGCCCAGGAACAGCCACTTCTCTCCCCGCATCTTCGCATCCTGCTGCCAAGGAGTGTGGCCATGGGCTCGAGGGCCAGGAGACCCCCAGGAAGGGTGGCACAGTGATCTACTCCAACCGCCTGCGTGCTGGAGACGAGCTGGTCCATGTGGCCTGGCGCATGTCCTCATATGGGCTGGCTGCTCCCCCACCCCTCACCCCCGGGGATGGTAGGTGTTCCTGGGGGTGCACTGCAATGGAGGTGGGCTCGGGGTGCTTGAGCGTGTTCCGTGGCTGGGCAAAGCTGTCGGGGCTTAGAAAGGGGCGTGGTCCACCAGGGGCTTGTCCCCACTTCCAGCTGGAGAAGGAAGGTGATCGCTGCCATTCTCTCTGCCACCTGCAACTTCAGACTGCAAAGGGAAGACGGCCAGGGGGGAGCAGAGCTGGGCCTCCTCCGACGGGGCTGCAGACCACACTGGGCGACCCGCCCAGCTGGTCCCACTGGGCTCGGATGCATCCATGGGCAGGCTCCAAATGTAGTCACCCAGCCGAGCAGGAGGAGTGGGCGGGGGGAGGGGGACTCTACGAGGACACTGGGGGTTCCTGGTGGGTCGGAGGGTCTTGTGTCCTGGCTGTGTCCGTGTCCTGTTGTCACAAGGGACTAGGGTTTTGCAGATGTCACCCAGGGACACATGGGGACCCTAGTATGAGTTCCTAACCACTGCACGTGACAGCCCACCCCCCCACCCCAACCCCCGCCGTCTGTCAAAAGGTCCCGAAGACAGCGGCAGTACACTACCTTGATGGTCCCCACACGGTCTTCAAAGGACTTGAAAGCTGCAGAGTTCCTGTAAGACAGGGTGGGTAGGGCTGCTGGGCTGAGGCTCCTGGCTGAGTTGACCCTGGCCCACTGGCCCCTAGAGCACAGTGAGATCATCTAGGGTTGTCCCTGCATGGGAACCAAGGCCAGCCATGGCCATCGGCCCACGTGGGGAGCTCCCCTGGGACCAGGATGTGTGTCCACCCTCAGACCCCCACAGCAACTTTGCAGAGCAGGGCAAAGCACAGCTTCCGCCCAGATGATACACCCTCCGGCTTTTCATATTTGGGTTATAAAGTCCCAGGGGCTCTTCCCGTATGGTTCTCAGAACTGAAGGAAACCCAGTTGGATTCTGGGACAACAGCACAAACAGGCCAGCCAAGCAGTCCACCCACCCCAAGTGTGGGCCCCTGGCCTTCAGGACCCCAGGCCTGCCAGGAGAGGGGAAGCACACCAGATTCTCTTGGGAGCCAGCAACGAGTTGTCCCCAACTGGGGCGTCACAGCACAGCAGAGGCAGCAGCACTACTGCGGCCCTGAGTAGCTGAGGCGCCCTCAGTCCCCCCGGCCAAGGCCCTGAGGACAGCTGCCCAGCTGCACATGGGCAGAGTGCCAGGGCTTGGTGCCCGCACTAGTTCTTGCTCTCATCTCAAGGAGACGAGCCCTTTCCAAGGCCCTCGCGATGGCGGGGGAGGTGCTGGGGGGCCAGCCAGAGAGCCGGCCTGGCAGACGGCACCTGTTACCTCATGGCCGGCATGCTGACGGAGTGGCGGATGGAGTGGCTGCTGCTCGGAAGCGTGGCGGAAGAAGGAAGCGATAGTTAATACCACCCACCGCGGCGAGCCCTGACAGGGCGGCAAAGCAGGGCCCCGGCTCCTCACTCACCACCAGAGATGTACTACTAGACCAAGGTGCCAGTGGTCAGCCAGCACGAGGGTACTGTGGGGACACGGGAAACTGTCCAGATAGACACGGCCAGAACTGGGGCCAGAGTGGGTCTGGACATAAGGAGCCCTTGGGGCACCCACTGGGTGTCACGTGGACCTAAAAAACCCTCCAGGATGTTCTGGACTGGAGGAGCTGGCAGGCTGAACCAGCAGCGAGCCCCGCCCGAGGGGAGGGCTCTCAGGGACAGCCAGACAGGCTGCTGGCCACACGAGGCCTGTCCATGTGCAGTGAGGCGAAGCAGCCACAGCTGCTGGCTGTGACTCAAGGTGACCCTACGGGATCATGTGGGGGAAGAAGCATGGCTGGGCTGAGGGGGTCTCATCGCCACGTCCACCCGCAGGAGGGGTTCCCACTAGCCAGTCTTACCTAAAGGAGTTCGAGAAGGGATGGGCCCTGAGCAGCAGGAGGAAAGGAGAAAGCAGGTCAGAGGGGCAGCCCCACAAGGGTCAAAGACACTGACAGCAGGGGCCCAGGCGCCCTGACCAGTGTACACGATGGGTCACTGGACACCAACCCCGTCCTTCCCTCACAAGCTGATCCTGGCCTTGGAGAGCACGGCAAACAGCCAGGAGCCACTACCACCCCCCACACGGGATGCCTGGTGTGCACCAGTCTGCAGGCTGACACCCACGACCTGCGTGGTAAGGCTGGAGAGGGTGGGATGGGGAGGACAGACAACCACCCCGGTTCTTCCAGAAATCATCATATTGCCAACTGCATCTGGGGGGCTCCAGTGGCGTTAGGGGCCCATCCTCCCGCCCAAGCCCACTGCCAATGCTGACAAACCCAGCAGGACGACACGGATCCTGCCAGAGCAACAGGGAGGGGAAGGCCTGTAGCTCTGAGGGTGGACTAGCGGGAGCTCGTAGGGGAAGCACAAGACCCGGGGTGGGGGGAGGCTGCCCTCTCAACAGCAGTCAGCAGTGCACAGCAGGAGTCAGCACACACACACACACACCCCTGCGCCCAACAGACCACCAGGGCCTCATGGCAAGTGCAGGGCAGCCCTGGCAAGTCTCTCTGGATGCCACCGCCACAGGTGGTGGGGAATACATCTAGGGACCTCTCTGAGAGCCTTCTCTCAGCTGGGCCTGGTGTGTGTCCTGGAGTTCTTCCTACAGGACACCCCATGCCCTCAAACACTGGGACCAGGCACAGCAGCCACTAGGTGCCAGCCCTCCTCACCACCATGCCTGAAAAACAGTTAAGGCCAGTGAGGGGCCAGAAATGAGTGGCCTAGCTGTCCCTGTCCCCAGTCACTACCTTCTGCCAGGCCTCTCTCTGCAAAAGCAGCCCCACCCCCACCAGTCCCGAGCTGTCCCCGCCACGACAGGTCACTGATGACCGTCTCTGCCCACAGTAAGCACATATGGATGAGAAGGGGTGGCCTCACCTCATGTCGCCAAGCTTCCTGCTGATGGCGGAGCCCACGGTGGAGAGAGCTGCCGAGGTCTTCTGTCCCGCCTGCGAGAGGGTCTCCTGCGTCTTCCGGTAGCTGGCAGGGGCGACACAAGCCCATCAAGTGGGGAGAGGGGAGCCATCACGGCCCCAGTCACACTCAGGCCCTCCTGCACGGACGGAGGAGGGAAGCAGGCGCCCGCCCCATGGTGTGAAGAATGGAGCCAGGGATGCCCAGCTGTGCTCCCCACCCTGACAACCCCATCTTCCAGCTCCATTCCTACAGCCACATGAGGACTTGCAGGCAGGGGTGGGGTGCTCTTAGCACCTCCTCACCGACCTGTCCCTAACTCCCCTTCCAGATAAAGCAGAACCCCTAAGGGAGGGTTTTCAGTCCAGCCATGTCTCTGAGTGCTAGCTACTGTGTGCAGCAGTGTACTGCATATAGCTGGAGCGCCCAAGCCTGCTCTAAGAAGGGGCCCTGGGTGCAGGGTGGGTTGAGGGTCTGAGCCCAAGGTGAAGCCCCTCTCCATGCCCTCCCTGGTCTAGGCACAGCCTGAATCCCATAGGTGAGAGAGCTCAGCCGCAGGCCAGGGCCACTCTGAGGGGACAGGGACCTGCATGCTCCTCTGCCACTCCACAAACAAGCTGGGTGTGGCAACTGACAAAGTGACAAAGCCCTCCCCCCACATAGACCCCAGGGCCCCAGCCAGCACCACCAGGCCCTGTCACCACCAGGCGCTCCTTCCACTCACCTGGGAAGATACCTGTCTCTCTCCATCACCAGCAGCAGCTGGGGGCTGGCTCCCGCCCAGGCTCCCACTGGCCCACAGCCTCCTGCCATACCCTCCACTGCTGCCCCAGCAAGCCTTGCCCAACCCCCACCCCAAGTGACTACCCTCCAGACCCCCCCAGGGGTGTCTCAGGAGTCCCAGGTCTCAAATCCACGAGAGGCTCCCCAGCATGGCACTTGGGAAACTTCCTGTAGCCACAGCGGCCCCCTCTCCAGAAACAAATGATTCAGTGCTCCCCTGGCAGTTAAAAAGGTTTACACCGCAACCCATGATCTAGGATGTCCGTCCCTCCTTTGCCGTACCTCTGGGCAAGTCCACGCCTCCCACCCCACCCCACAGCTGCCCAGTATCAACTGTATTAAAAAACCTGGAAGTGTTTATCAAAGGGAAGAAAATAAATCCTAAAAAACTCGCTGAAAGAAAATGCTTCTGAATTTCCTGAAACCAATCACTAATAAAGTTCAGATTCTGCATCTAGGCCTGAGGCTAACCCAGGGGCCTCACTGCTGGCCAGTCCTCCTGCTGGGCCAGAGTCAGGACCAGCACAGCCTCAGCGGACCCATGCCCGACCCCTGGACGCAGACAGGGTGCCACAGCTGAGCGTGGATCCAGAGATGCCCACAGGTCATCTCAGGCCATCACAGCTCCCGAGGACTCCCCTCCCCTCGGCCTCTGTGGTGCTCTCCTGGGGACCCTGCAGGCAGGGGGCTGCTGTTCCCCATGGACCCGAGAGCAACTTCTACACCACCAGCATCGGCTCCAGCTCCAGTAAGAGGCAGGGACAGGCCTGGGTGGTGACAGCCCCTGGGAACTCCTCTTCCAGAGCCCACTTGCTACGCAGTATCACTGCATCCTGGGTTAGGGGCCCTCTAGAGACCAAGGTCTGGGCACAGCTGTTTATAAAGCACACCCCCAACCCCTGCAAGCTCATGCGTCTGTAGGTCGCTCAGAGCCGGTCCGGTCCACCGTCCCACAGGTGAAGAAGCCACAGGCAGAGGACTTCAAGAAGCATTCCCCCACCGCCAGTCTGGGCAAGCCTCAGCTTGCCCCCGGGTGGAGCAGACCCAGCCACTGAGGGTCCAAACAGATGCAGACTTGCCCCTCGGTCCACACAGGGACCATCCTCCCACACTCGAGTTCACGAGGGCTGGACAGAGTTGGGGAGGTGTCACCACCCCTGGAGCCAGTGCAGCACTTTGCAATGAGGCCCCCACCACTCACAGCTGCTCACCCCCACGTGACCAACACTGGAGCCCCTTCCAGAAGAAAAAGAGTTCCCTCCAGACGTGCCATGAGGACAGGGAGCCATGCTCCGAGGACCCCATAGTGGACACAATCAACAGAACAAGCTCACAGCGGCTACTGCCCAGGGCCCCGGCTCAGCAGTAAGGAGACTCAATGCCACCTTCCCCCCACCCCAGAGTCGTGCGCCCCCACAGAGTGCACAGCAGCGAAGAGGCTCAGTCCCTTGCCGGAGAGAAGGAAAGGCGACTCAAGGAAGAACTGCAGAACACTGTCTCCACCAAGCACACAGGCTCCCGCCACCTGGGCAGGTGAGTCAGGGGGTGGGGCGGAGGAGGAAGGGCGGGAGGAGAGGCGGGGAAGAGGAGGGAGAGAATGAGGGAGGTTAGGATGGAGTGGGAGGAGAGGGAGGGTGGTGCTACAGGCACTCACAGGTCAGACTGGGTCACTTTCTCATTCCACGCTCCGAGTTTTTCAGAAGTTTTCATGTAGCTAAAACAGAAAGTCTGGAGTGAGCAACTTAGAAAAACAATGTCCACTCCAGCTTCCTGCTGCCCATGGACTTAAAAGCAAACAGAGAAGGACCGGCTGGAAGAGCGAGCCACACTGCCCCCTCCTGGGCACACAGGGGTGAGAGCCTGGCTGGGCTCTGGGGTCACCCCTGTGGGCAGGCTGGCACACCTGGTCACAGGGCACAGCCTGATTGCCTCTGGTGGAAGATGTAGCCTGCTGGCCGACTCACAGGCTCCGTGTAAGGTAGCCAGGCCCATCCAAGGGCCCCTCTGCTATGCCCTCCCACCACCACCAGCCAGGAGGCACCTACGCGCTGGAGCCCTGCACGTCCTGCCAGCCCCTGGCCAGGTTCTGCCGCAGCCCATCGAGGGCCGAGAGGCCCAGCTTCCGCTTCAGCTCCCCGCAGTGCCGCTCCTTGGCCGCCAGGACCTGGCGCAGCGTGCCGATCTCCTCTTCCACCTGCAAAGGCACACGCAGGGCTGCTCACAGCACAGCCCCAGGATACCCGCTTGGGACTGCAGCTCAAGTCCAGCTGCACAGCTCCCCCAGGGAGCTCACTGGGCATTGAGCCTCGCCTCTGCCCTCAGGCTCGGAGAAGGTGGAGGGCCACCCACAGCTGTGAGGGGCTGCACGTGCAGCAGGCGAGGCCGCCGCAGGGACGCAGGGAAGGCTGGGAAGAGCGCAGTACGCCTTCTCATCCGAGTCAGTATTGGCCACTCTCACAGGCCAGACAGACAACAGTGCTCACAGCAGGGCCACAAGAAGCCCTGTACTCCCGACAAGCTCTCCTAAACTCAGCACCTGCCTCTCTGGTAACGGGGGCTGCAGCGGGGCCCTCAACACCAGCTAGGGGCCCACGCCCACGCCCACTGAGGTTTGCTTTAAAAAAAGGTCAGAAGAGAAATAACAAAAGGTAAAACACATGCTCACCTAAGGGCAGCTCCAACCAGAACCCCCCTCCCATGCCGGAGGCTCCAAATGAGGCTAACTCCCTAACCAAGAGTCCACTTAGACTCAAAGTGGCCTGTCCAGGGGCCCCGAGCCCACCCAGTCTCGCCTCTCTCCACGAAACTCCCAGCCTGTCCGCAAGGCAAAGCTGCCAGGCCCTGAAAACCATCCGCAGCTTCCGGGTCTGAAGCAGCACACGGCCCTGGGTGCCTGCCCCTGGCCCCTTCGCCCTCTGCTACCAGGACAGCCAGCAGGGCTCAGGCTCCACCAACGCTCGGAGGCGAACGGGAGCTACCACCTAAAGCTGAGTTGCAGGGGATAGAACAGGTTCCTTTAGGGGCTCTTGCTGGGAGGCAAGTAGTGCTTTAAATGCTTTTTCGTAATACAGTGTTTTTCAAAGATTAATGAAGAACCAGGGCGGACAGCCCTGCCATTCTCTGGGGTCTGAAGCTCCGGCCCCCTGCCTGCCACCCCCAAGCCATGCCTCACCTTGGCGAGCTCGGCACGGAGCTCCTCCTCCTCAGCCTCCGTCAGGCCCTCAGGGGTGGCTGGGGCCCGGGCAGCCCCACCCGAGTCCACAGGGACGTCCACCATGGAGTCGGACAGCAGGCCTTTGTGAGGCGAGTTCAGGTTGATATCTAGCAGACACAGCAAGGTCAGAGCGCAGAGGCAGCTGTCAGTCAATAAGCAAGCAGGGCCAGGGTCTCCACGAAGGTGGAAGGGCAGATGCTGGTGAACGGGGCCAGGGAGACCAGTGGTAACAAAGCCTCTTTTCTGGAAGGTTCTGATTGGTCATCAAGGGAGGGCAGCCTGTTCCCACATTCTACCAGGAGCACTGCTTCTGGGCCCCAGGGAGCTGCTTGACAGCTACCTGTGTCCCGGGGGCACGAGCTTTGGAGGCAGCAAACCGAGACACAAACAAGTAGTGGTGCCACCGGCTCATCCACTTTCCAATGAGACTCAACCTTCACTTTCCACCCAACTGCTGCCAGGGCCCCCCTGACAGTGCCAGGCAACAAGCCTGTGCCAGCCGCTGCAGGGAGCCAGCGCAGCCAAGTCCCTACGTCCAGCCCACTGTGCCCATCAGAAGGCGCAAACTCCGGGCACAGTGGGGGCTCTTCTTGTGCTTTCCTCCCCCTTTCACAGGACAGCCAGCCAGACAGCCACCACTGGGCAGAGCCCCTCTTCTGGCTCCTCACCAGACACTGCCCAGGCTCAATATCCAAAACTTCCTTGCTATGGACTCAATATGTAAAACAAAATTGCTTTTAAGTGCAGTCTTGTGGGTTGACTGCAGAAATCCTAGAGCATGTGGAAAGGAAGTTCCCCCTCAAACCACAGACCCTCACTTCCATGCGGCTCCTTCCCTGAGAGGGGAGGGGGAAGGGGAGGTGGGGGTGGAACTGTGTGCCCACATGCCTGGACACATTCTACGGGGATCGCGTGAACTGGGCCTTTTTCCCCCCTTTCATCAACGACCTGATTTTCGATGGAAAACAACCTACATTGCCACTATGGTGGGCCTACTTAAGTTCAACGAGCGCCTTGAAATCATTACAATATTCACCCCGTGTTTTGCTGTTTTTTTAAGTTAAGGTCCTTGACCAGTTCCTAAGACGTTAAATTGACCCCACAGATATTATCGCCAGACAGAAACCGGCAATTGGCAGAAATGTACTGGTCCTGCACAAGCTGGCAGGAGACTGCCAAGCTCCTCATGGGCTGATATATTCCCACAGCTTTGTTTACAGAGCAGGGCCTGAGGCCAGAGGGGGCATGAGGCCAAGGCCCTGGGCAAGCTCAGAGCCTACAATCCTTCTCAATGGGGGGCTCCCAGCTCTCTCAAAGCCTGTGCTGGAAAAGGTAATCACTGGAGAAATGGGCTCAGCCTCTGGTCTGTCACGGAACCAAAGCAAAGACCCACAGCCCTTGGCTCGGTCCCACTGTGCTACACCGGGCTTCAGGGCTGCTGTCTGAGGGGAGGGAGCCCCAGAGGTGTAATGGGTTATGCGTTGGACTGCTACCCTCAAGGTCAGCGTTTCAAAACCACCAGCCACTCCTTAGAAACAAAATAAGGCTTCCTACTCCAGAGTTGAGTTAGTCTTGGAAACCCACAGGGGCAGTCCTGTCCTACAGTGTGACTACGAGTCACGGAGGCTTTTGGCATCTTAAGAGAAGTAGACAGCCAGACCTTTATTCTGCGGAATTGCTGCGTGGATGCACGCTGCCTATCTTTAGGTTAGCAGGCCAGGGCAGAAGTCAGGCACATAGTACGTGCTCAGTAAATATTTCCTAGAACCCCAGAGACCAGGATGCAGTGCGTTGACGCTTAACAAAATCAAAGGTGGACATTGTCTTGTGAACTGCTTCTTTGTTATTTCCAACTTGTGGTTAAGAATTGGGTTGACAGAGCAGTTCCCTCTTCCATTCCTCAATCCACCCCCATTGTTCCACCTCTGGGGCTGCAGTGCTCACCACGAAACATCCTGGGTCCCGGCTTCCAGCCCTCCTTTCTTAAACCTGACTTAGGCAGAGCATAACGTACAGGAGGAGTTTGGTGCTGGCTTCCCATCGTGATGTCAGAAGGATGCACCAGAACCCAGGATGTCCAGATGTCCAGGGGGGCTGCCTGGCCTGAAGAGCTGTCCCCACCCAGGAAGGCGCCCAAGCCTAACACAGACGCCCCGCTTCCCTCCTGTCCCGCCGCTGCGGGGGCCCCTCTACCTGGTCTGGGACTGGCGCTGGGTGTGCCTGGCCTCGCTCCGCCCTGCTCCCAAACAGGCGGGGCCCGCGCGTTGCCACCCACGGGGCGCCGCTCACGGCGTTTGG